CTGTAAAGGGGGTAATTATTCACTGGGTTTTAATTTAGCTTATTTCGCTGACTGGAAAAATGCGCTAAATTAAAACACAGTGAATATGTAAAATTTAGCATAGAACACATTATCTTAAATGACGAAACCGTGAATTTAAAACCCACTGAATATTGCCCGAAATGGTAAATCAGTGAAATTTAAACCCAGTGAAAATTAGTCATTTTACAGTATATTCTTCAATATTTCTGGAAATGAACCCTAATTTTGGAGCCAATAGACAAAATTTGAATCAATTTTCAGTATCACTCAAAAAATTTGGCTATTTTTTGTCCCAATATTTTGAGGGAAAGTGCAGACTATAAACAAGACTATTTTGTGAATTTGTGATGAAAAGAGGGAACTGGTTGTGAAAAGGTTATACCTTGAATACTTGTGTTATCTGTTGATTTATATGACACATTATTTTTTAGAACTTGTACGAAATTGGCCAACTGGCAGCCATTTTGTACATTGCAAATATTTATTTTTGATAAGCAATATCTTGCTTATAAATTTGTAGTCTCTGAGTTTGTTTTAACTTGAAAAAAAAAAAAAAAAATTGGTATAGTGACAGTATTGCTTCATAATAATGCAAGTGAAGTTTGCCACTATCTAATCAAACAATAGTGACTTGCATTCATTTTTTCATTTTCTTCATAAAAACAAAATATTTTACATAGCATAAGTTGAGGGCAGTATTTCTTTATTGTTTCTGTAGGAGATATGGACTGAATTTCTGGATAAGGACAGAGTTGAGTTTGAGGTGATACAGTTAGTGAGTTCCTGGGTAAAAGAGTGCAAAGTGATACACTGCAGTGATGGAAATAGACGACATTCTCTACTCACTGATTACAGTACTCAATCAAGTAAGTTTATTTTTGTATATTTCAAGATCAAGAACTCAATAATTGCAGTTAAAAAGTTTCAATAAATCAACAATGTATGGACGAGCCCCCAGATGTCACACGCAACGTAATATTACCGTAATTGGTATAGTACAGGTGTGATGGTTCAAATACCAAAATGGCAACAGTAACAGAAAGACTTCCCTGGCGGCGATGATAAAATACGAACACGGAGCCAACAGATGAGGTTTCAACCGGTACTGGTATTATTATACTCTGCAAACATCAAGTACAATAACGCGGTAAAACTCCAAACCTCCAATAACTAGATACTTAAACTCCAATACAATTCAACGAGATCTCCGATCTGATCTCAGTGCTGAACAACTCCCCTATATATACCCACACTGTCTATAAATAGACCATTACATCAGCATACATAATGAGTCTGGAACTTACTACCAATTTCTAGAATGTTCCATTACCTTCTGTTGCCTCCTACAGTGTTCTATTACCTATTCAACCAGTTTCTAAACAAAATCTAGAATATTCCACCCAGACACAGTACGGTTCTAGAACATTCTCAGTGACACGGAAGTGGTACAAGTCGTATGCGACAATGAAGAAGGAGACCTGCAAGTTATGATGCTAGAAATGTTGTCAAGTGATTTGAAAGAGTATACCCTGTGACTTGTGCAATGGTACAGGGGTTCGCATGTTTGCCTTGCAGCAGTGTGTTTCTAGGTTTAATTCCCAAAGGTGATTGTTCATGCAGCAGTAAAATTCAAGTACAGTTTGCCATGCCTTCAAAACATGTGATATGAT